GTATTCGATTGTTTAAATCATTCTTTTTTTTTCTTTCTTTCTTTCTCTCTTTTGTTGTCTTTACTGATATCTTTTTTTATTATTTCCACCGATAAAACATAGACTTTTTTACAAGGTAAACTATACATAAATACACTTGCATATACACACATATACGCAAATATTCAAATCAACAGCATTATTAAAATGACCTTCTTTTTTTATGTTCATTCATTTCGGAATTCCCTTTTTAAAAAAACTATTATATTTTTCAAAACCTCGTGTTATTTTAACAAAACGTGGTTCTTTACACAAAAAAATTATTTCGGTGTTTAAAGATGATGCTTTACAAGTTAGTTGTTCTTGGTGATGGTGGTGTTGGTAAAACTGCCTTGACCATTCAAGTAAGTACGTCTGATGATTGAAGCTCATGTGATTAACTTTGTTTTAGCTGTGTCTTAATCATTTTGTTGGTAAAATATGGGAACAATCATTTAAAGAAACATACTAACTCTCCTCTTTCCCTTCCTCCTTTCTTGTCTCCCATCTTGCGTTGTTTAGAGGTAAAACAAACATATTATTAGGAGGATGAAGGAGTCAATTAACATGATCTATAGACATACGACCCAACCATTGAAGACTCATATCGCAAGCAAGTCGTTATTGATGATCAACCATGTGTTCTCGAAGTATTAGATACTGCTGGTCAAGAAGAATATACTGCATTAAGAGATCAATGGATCAGGTAGGATCATGTTGACACACCGAGAATATAAATATTGATATACTCTTTCACATAGAGACGGCGAAGGATTTTTACTTGTCTACTCAATCGCATCTCGATCAACGTTTGAACGTATCGAACGTTTCCGCAACCAAATTTTTAGAGTTAAAGATGTTGAAAATGTACCCATGATGTTGGTTGGTAACAAGTGTGACAAAGTAACTGAAAGAGAAGTGACTAGAGAAGAAGGTATTGCTATGGCTAAACAATTGGCATGTGATTTCATTGAAACCTCTGCAAAGACCTGCGTTAATGTCGAAAGGTCATTTTATCAAGTTGTCAAGGCAATTAGAGCCCAAAGAGAAGGCTTGAACCCTGGTGGATCAAAAGGAAAGAGTAAGAAGGAGAAGAAGAAGAACTGCTTGATTTTGTAAATTATTATTCTTCATTTTTGTTTTTGTTTTTTTTTCCCTTCTTTGCTGTACTTCTACCCTCTTCATTTACACGCAACAAAAATACCACTTTTCGTTTTATCTTTGAGATGTGCTTAATTTTCTATATTTAATGATAATTTATATAAACAAATAAATACTAAGAGCCATGATTCTTAAACCACTGTGTCAAGTTTTCATAGACTAAAAATGTGATGCAGGTGCCTGGTAAGACACGAATGACACTGGGTGCTAAACCCTTATAAAAGCCAAGAAATCCTTCTGCTTGGACCACTTTTTTTGCGCAGTCGATCACTCCTTTATATGTATCTTTTGTTGCCTGATCCTGTCCAACGAATATTTGAGCTGATATTATTAGAATAAATCAGTAATTTATTACCTGAAGTCGACTCTTTAATACTTGGTAAGGATAGGTTACTACGGCTGCAATCGTCTTGGATGTGGCTGCCATCACCAAATACTCTGTTTGACTTAGTTTTGCGTTCAATTCGTCCGACGCAATAACACCCATTTGCTGTCTCAACTCGTTTCTTCTCTTTTTCATTTCCTCATAGACCATAAATTGAATTGCACCGTGGGAAACGCCGAAGAGAGCAGGTATCATACCACGATAGAGTCCCCGAATGCCTTCCTCTGTATACAGCCTCCTGAGGCCGTCAAATAATCCTTTATAGGCGTCTGGCATATGTCGTGTGGTAGTGCACATGCGTGTCTTGACAACCCAAAGTGGATTGGCCATTAGAGCCGTAAGTGCACCTAATACAAAATGAGCTTCCTCTACCCACTATTTGTTTGTTTACTTTTACCTGCTTCAGCAGAAGCTGTCAAGTGTTGAACAGGTGATAGTTTGCCTTGACTATCCTTTTTCATGTATTTTTTGATCAGACTGTACCAACCAAAATACATTCCCCAACTCAAAGTTGATCCAGCCATGTTGGGTGTGATTCCACGGTAAAGGCCACGCCAGAAGCCCTCTTCTACTAATATCTCCCTGAATGCCTTAACTGTTCCTCCGAGCATTCTCTGATTAGAGTATCGATTGACTTTAAAATGGGGTTCAATTATTTGCTTTGGTTCTGGTAAATGCTCTCTCTCTTTTTTTTTTTACCTTGAAAGCGAATCTTGATAAGATCCAGGGGATGAAGTATGGCTGTTGACACCATGCCAGCACCAAATCCTGCAAGTGCTTGGTCCTAAGACAGTTTTAGCCCGCTGTATGTGAACATGAGTGAAGAGACGGTTTATTTACTGTATGCGGTGAACCTGTGAATGAAGGTGTCTTGGTAGTTGCCATTTACACTATTTAGAAATTATTCACAGACTGATAAATGAAATAAAATAAAATTTCAGACAAGTGAGACAACAAATGATAAAAGGGAGCCCACCAGAAGCAAAAGAATGAATAAAGAAAATGATTAATAAATCATTTGATATTAGACACTTATGTTAAAAGAAGAGAGTTTATAAGAGAAAACAGAAAGCAAATATATAAAAGAGATGATTATATCTTACCTAAAGTGTATCTTGGGTGAAAGCAGCGATAACTGGCAGAGAAAAAAGGAAGAAAGAGCAAACAAAAGAGTAGAAGAGGTAGAAGGAATAGTTGAGATCAGAACCAAGCTATCTCCAACTTTCACTGGGGTAAGCTCAATTTATGATCCATAACACTATACGCTAGTTTCTTACAAGAGTAAAAAATATAACATACCTTAAGACTGGGGAGTAGTTGGTCATACCTTTCGATCCAAAAAAGAAAAGAAGCCAAAGAATATTTATATTAAGTCTCTGACAACTTCTCAGTTAGGTGTTATTTATAAAGTATTGACCACATTATACGAGACTCTTTTCTCAAAAAGATGAAGATCATTTTATATTATTATGCGCTGTCAAGTCGAAAACGATAAAGAAAAGATTGACAGCCAAGATCACTAAAGTGGAAATCCCATTGATCTTGTATTGTGTGCCAATAACTACTATGGTATACACATATATATATATATTTAAATTAACAAAGTAGGTTTTCTAGATTCATATTTCGTTCAGCAGTGGAAGAAGAAGAGCTAGGTGGGCTTGGTAATTCTTGTGTTTTTTTATGGTTTGTCAGCAAATCCATCGGCTTCAGCCCAGTGGAAGGTGGAGTCGGTAGCACAGAAGGTTGCTTTTTAGTAGGGGAGCATGGCGTTGACCAAGATTCTTCGTCATCTTCTTCTTCATCATCCTCTTCTTCTTCATGTCCGATTTGAGGTGGTGGCAGCTGTTCAGTAGATTGTTCTTGCTGTTGCTGTTGCTCTGGTTCTTTTGACTTAATTTTTGGAGGCAACTGATCCGGATCTTTGCCTAAGTCTTGAACGACCTTTCTGAGATAGACTATATAATCAATCGCACTCTGAAGGACGGTCATTTTGTGTAAGTTGTGTCGATCGGCACAGGACGGGATCAATTGTTTGAGTTGAGCTATTTTATCATTGATCCGTTCACGCCGTCTTCGTTCAATCGCGCTATGAGATATCTTTCTGGCTTGTTCTCGCTCATCTGCAGTTGTGCTTGAGATTGAGTTGTGACGGCCTGGATGTAATTGTGGCGAGATTTGGTAAGGATGGTAGGTATAGAATGCAGCTGCAGGGCTAGTAGCTGCATTTGAATTAGGTGTTTTAGGCAGAATACGTGGTTGATTAGATGAGGAAGTAGAAGATGTAAGCGTAGGTGATTGACGAGGAGAGATGGGAGGATGAATGGGCAAATAATAGGGATGTGGCGGTGGATGATAGACTGGATAAGGTATAAAATGATAAGGTACCATGGGGGGAGGTAAAGCAACGGTAGTGGTAGGTGTTGAAGGGGGATTGCTTGTCGGTGCTGTTCCTGTTGTTGTCGTCGCCTTGTTAGTTTCGATCATTGATCTTTTTCTTTTCTTTGGTGCAGGAGCCATTCTTTAATTGAAGAGAAAGAAGGAAGAAAAGAAAACAAGAAACGTAGGAAAATAATCCTATAATACACCTTGATCCAATAACAAAGGTATGAAAAAACCACGTGTAATTCTGATTGGTTGATTCATGGTCACGTTTAGAAGATGGATCCACACATATTCCCCTTATTTTTTGTCGTTTAATTTTACACGTGAGCTCAAATTGAAACACTTGCCCAATCTAATTAGTTTGACTGCATAAATGCTTCTTAGGGTTCCAAAAGAAGGTGGATGTGTGCTGGGTTCGAATGTCACTGATCACTATCCATATCAACGGTTGCTATCATATGTTACCATAGCAGTTGTTATTACTATGGATACACCTGCTTACATAGCCGACTGCAGAATGCTGAAGCATTGTATTAAGAATTTATCTAGTTATCTTTTTTTTCTGTTTAGAGTTTTCTCTGTTTTTTATTTTAAAAAATAAGATGATCAAGAGATCAGTGAATGTACTTTTCTTAAATCAACAAATGAAAAGCGTTGGCGAGTGCTCGCTCTTCAATGGGACCAATCAGAGGAAAGTAAGGAATTTCTTTAAACATGCTGAACTGATAACAATAGTTCTTGTATTCAATTCGACACAACCACTCCTTTATTTAAAAAACATATTTCCAAACTACACATACATTTATCAAAAAAGGATTATATCGAATGTTGTTGGAAAGCAACCATTTACATAAAGAATATAAACTCAACTTTGCCTCAAGCGGGACGTTGAGCGGTACTGCTTTTTCTCCTCTCCTCCTATTCTTTTCTCTCTGCCTATTTTTTTCTTATTCCGCTCTTTTTCTTCGTACTTTGCTCCCAATGTCTGCCAGACCACTTACCCAATTCTCGTGTAAGTTGCATCCTACTAAAAGATAAACCATGATTTTAAACCATTCATAGTTCGTTCTCAAAAGGATTTGACAATTTGGAATGGCTATCCTGAGCTAAAGCCTACCAGCCAATTCGCAAAGTAAGAAAGCATAATTCTCTTTGCATGACATTCCTGTATTTATTCATCCGTCTAATCTAGACCAGAAGCAGCCGCTCGTATGTTCCTGTACAGTAAACATGGTCATGCCTACGCTTACTCCACCAATCAATGGTAAATCTAGTGATCATTGCTATTTATGGTTATTAATATGTTTATAGTGTGAAAGTGTTTGATGCCAACAGTCTGGAACCACGATGCGAAATTAAAAGAGAGAACGTGATCGACTTTTGGTTCTCACCTCAAGGAAGTTATGTTGCCACTTGGGAACGTCCCTGTAAGCTTGAACTTGTTTATTTTTTTTTTGGATCATTAACCATTCTGAACAAAAACTACAGCCAAGCGAGAAGATGGTTCTGCAAACAACAACTTGACCATTTGGGATGCAAAGACAGGGCAGGAAATTGCAGCTTTCAGCCAAAAAGCTCAAAATAACTGGTAAATGAACATTATCAACAAAGAGAGAGAGAGAGACTAAAGGGTATGCATTAGGAATTTTCAGTGGACAGACGATGAAAAATACTGCGCTCGTATGGTCACTGGTGAACTTCATTTTTGGGAAAGTAGAAATGTTGGCAAAGGTAGTATCGATATTTTTTTTCTTGTTACAGTTTGTTAACATACAACGTGTAGCTGTATGGGCCAGACTTCAAATCGAAGGTATTGCTCAGTTTTCATTAAGTCCAGGCAAATCTCCCGCTGTTGCAGTATTTGTGCCTGAAAAGAAGGCAAGTATTTTACAACAGATAGTACTAGGGCTTGACTAACTGTGTGCTTAGGGCGCTCCAGGCGTTGTTCGTATGTATAGTGTTCCCAACTTTAAGTCACCACTCTCGAGCAAGACATTCTTCAAGGCAGACAGCGTGACGCTCTATTGGAACGATTTGGGTACTAATCTCCTTGTGTTAACACACACTGATGTGGACAAGTCTAACAAATCATACTATGGCGAAACAAACCTTTACTACCTTGCCGTCGCTGGCAATTTTGACTGTCGCGTGCCTCTTGACAAGGAAGGTCCTGTTCACGATGTTACTTGGGGACCTGATTCAAAAGAATTTATTGTCATCTACGGTTCTATGCCTGCCAAGGCTACTTTATTTGACCATAGAGCAAAGCCTGTTCATGACTTTGGTATCAATCCTCGTAACTTTGTTCGATATAATCCTCAAGGACGTACTATTTGTATTGCTGGTTTTGGAAACTTGAACGGTACTGTCGATCTTTGGGACAGAAAGACGTTGAAAAAGCTTAATACCTTCTCTGCATCCAACGCCTCTCACTGCGAATGGTCTCCCTGTGGTCGATTCCTACTGACTGCTACCATGACGCCACGTCTTCGTGTCGACAACGGATTCAAGTTGTGGCATCAATCGGGCACATTAGTGTATGAAGAGGAAATCGAAGAGCTCTATCAAATTTCATATCGTCCTCAACCTGTAGCACTTTTCCCCATGCGATCTATGTCGCCTCCACCTACACCCGTCAAGATACTTCCATCCAAGACAAGCGCAGCCAAGACAACAGCAATTCCTTCGGGAGCTTATAGACCACCTCATCTTCGTGGTGGTGGTAAACCTATGTCACTTTCTGAACGTGCGGCTGCCTTGAATGGTGTTGGCAAGGGCGCACCTTCCCAGAGAAAAGTTGTTGGTGCTCCCGTAGGTGGAAAACCAAAGAAAAACAACAACCAAAAGAAAGAGTCCAAGAACGAGTCAGAGAATAACTCAACTACGGGTGATGCTGCATTATCGACTGAAGATAAACAAAAGAAGATCCGTAACCTGGAAAAGAAACTTAGACAAATTGCAGAATTAAAAGAGAAAATGGGTCGTGGAGAAGAGTTGGCCCCTGCTCAGCAACAAAAGGTTGCCAGTGAAGTGTCTATCTTAAGGGAGATTGCCAACCTGCGTCTCTAGAGTTTACTTTTTAAATAAAGTTTATTCCTTGTCTTTGGAATAATGCATTCTCTTTTTATTCTACTTAACGGCCAACTAATCGTAATAAACAATAAAAGGGACGATCATGGAAACTAAAAATCTCAGTCACTGTGAAAAAGAAGAACAGGCGACTGTCCGGATAGTGAATATTGAGGGCACTGCTGCTGCTGCTGATATACAGGCGTTGCAACCAGGTACATATCTGGCTGACCGGGAGACAGCGCTATGGCAGGAATATAAAGGCATTTTAAACCTTGATTCGAAGATGGAAGGGAAGATTGCTTCTAAAGGAGCTGATGTTGCCATGGTGATTTGGGTAGAGAGGTTAGAAACGGCCAATCTAGTGACAGTGGAGACCTAAGTTACACGCTCAAGGAAGTGGGTGGTTTGTTGCTTGAGTAGAACTATTTCAATCTTCACGGCAGAAAGCTCTGCCTGGACATACTTTCCAATTAAGGTAAAAGGTAGCAGAAGTGATGAAACCGTGCAGCGTTCAGTTTCTTTCGTTCATCTGCAAGTGTCAAGTATCAATACAAGTTTATCCCATAAGATTCTGCTTATATTTTATGTAGCTTGGGTGCGTGTTTCAACAAAAAAACGACAATGAAAAACCGCTGCATATTGTGGTTCAGAATAACCAAGAACTTTGGCGTTGTAGATAACACTAGTGCTAGAAGTGACTTATTCTCAAATATTCACATGGTTTTCATTTTACGCGTTGTAGTCACGTTACTGCACGTTATACAGTCTTTCCGGAAAGTAAATTCGCCTGTGATCGAAAATAAATGCACCCAATGGTGAGAACAAAATTCATGTTGTATGAAATGTAAATTCGTCGTCACCAAGAATATTTTCGTAGTATCAGTCTTGACATCCACGGATATACTATGTTTCCAAAAAACAATGCCCCATGGCCCTTGTTCTGACTCGCTTGTCCCGCCCTCTTTGCTCTCTGGCGTGTATCTGGAACGTTCCCCAATAGTCTCTTCTGACGCCCTGGGTTCTCTGTGTCCTCCGTTCCTTTTTTTTTTTTGTTTAAACAATCCTGGGTAGTTATCGCTACCCTCCCCAGAATGCACCTTGGTGGTAAGTAAAACTAATATTGGGATATGTGCTCTAATACTAACATACTCTTTCTCTCTTTTTCTACATATACTCATTATCTCTCTCTCTTTTGACATAATGTCGTTTTATTCAAACGTGTTTTTCTTTGTCGTCTTTTTACGTAAATACTTTTTTTATTTTACAACAATATTTTATAAAATTAACGTCAATAATTAACAAGTACAGATTTGGCAATCGGCCCCTTTGGGCCGACTATAAAATAATATTTTGATCAGATAAAAAATCATTTACTGCTGCTATCCATTCCAACACGTATTATTAGATATGTATTCTGCCTATAGATGAGTTTTTATAAAGAAGTGAGCACTTTTGCCTCATA